GCGCGCCCCGCGCGCCTTGCTCCCCCGTGCCCCGCGCGCCCTCGTGGCCCGCGCGTCTCGCGCCCTGCTACCCTGCACGCCCCGCACGCCCTGCTGCACCGCGCCCCGCGCGCCCTGCTGCCCCACGCGCCCCGAGCACCCTGCTGCCACGCGCCTGCCCGTGCGCTACTCCGCGCGCCGCGCCTGCTCGTTCACTACTGCTATAGCTTCCGCCGCCGAAGTCGCTACTGTCTCCCTTGCGCCACTACTGCTGACTGCCGTTGCCTGTCATGGCCACTATCAGTGTCTTAGCAGTTAACGTAGACGGACGCCCTTTCAAGTTAGGGTTGTGGCTTGCGTGCCTGCGCCTGTATCTCCGGCGTTTCATTAGAGATGGCGTCTCCCTGTTCGAGCACACGTCGGGGTCCCTTCAGCACCCCACGACTCCCACTGAGCTTGCTGTTGACGCTGGCAAGGACGTGCAGTGGTGGTACCGGGCGGACCGCGTTGCCTACACATAGTGGACGGAGCACGACGCTATCGCACAGCTTGCCGTCCGAGCTCACCCGCCGGTCAACCAGAGGGCGCACTTTCGTCAGGTGACGTCGGCCCATACTTTTTACAATCCTGTGGTTAGACACTACTCCTCCCTCTCTCCTGCCACCCGGCCACGCGGCAGCGACGTCCGTTGTTAGGGGAGGTGTAGCAGCTGGTCGAGGAGGCAAGTGTAGGTACCTGTGCAGCTGCTCGTTTAGCAGGTGGAGGTGCTGGTGGAGGCGGAGGTTCTGGGGGTGGACAGCAGTGGCAGCAGCGTCAGCCGGAGACCCTCTCGCCGCAGCAGCTTCGGGAGTGGGTTTCCCAGCGACGCGTCCCTGGTGTTGTAGGGGCTGCTAGTCTAGGTGCTTGTGAGTCTGCTAGCACAAGGTGCAGTTCCGGCGGAGGCTTTGCTCACCTTCACACTGGACTTAGGCGCATCTCACTGCTTCTTCCGCGATTGCACCATAGTAACACCACTCACCACACCTGTCCCTGTGACTCTGGCTGGCCCCTCCTCCGGCCCGGTCATTGCACGTAGTTCCATTGTTCTCCCGTGTCCGGCAGTCCCCTCTGGTTCCCTCACAGGTTTCCACCTCCCCTCGTTCGCTACGAACTTGGTGAGTAACGCTGTCCTACAGGATCACTTGGTTACTACCACAACTCCTGGGGACGAGCCTATGGCGATCTGTACGGACTCAGTGACTGGCGACCACCTTGCCACGTTCACTCGGAGACCTGGGTCTGGCCTGTACACACTGCACGTTTAGTCTGCACAGTTGGCTGCGTCTTCCATGGCTTTCCCACCGTCGTACTTGGCTGGCAGTTTTACCACCCAGCCACGCGTCGTATCGTGTCCTCCCATGACGTCACCTTTGACGAGTCGGTTTGCTACTACCGCCTCCTCCCCCACGTGTCTTCTCCTGTCCCCTCACCGCCCCTCTTCCTGGTTCCAGGTTACCCCCCGGTAGACCCCCACCCCCCCTCACGTCCTGCTCCCTCTGGTGTGTCTCAGGTCACACCACCCCCCTTGGTTGAGTCTTTGGAGGTCTCCTCTGGTCACTGCTGTTGACGACACTGCGGCCTCTCGCCGCTCCCCGCGCTTGGAGACCCCTCCTGGCTTTCCACCACGGCCGTCTTCGCAGCCTCTGCAGCATGTCGCTGTGGACTCCGGTGCTGCTAGAGGTGGTGTCGCTGGAGGTGTGGGCTATGAGGGTGCTGACGCTAGAGGTGCTGGTTCTCGGGGTGCTGAGCCTGGGAGTGCTGAGCCTGGAGGTGCTACGCCTGGGGGTGGGCAGCCGCTGCCGTCGCGTCCGCCGCAGCAGCTGCGTGAGTGGGTAGTCGGACGCCGTGCTGACTCTAGGGGTGCTGGTTCTGGGGGTGGACAGCAGCTGCCGTCGCGCCCGCGGGAGACTCTCTCGCCGCAGCAGCTGCGTGAGTGGATCGTTGGACGCCGTACTGACTCTGGAGGTTATGGTTCTTGGGGTGCTGCGCCTGAGAGTGCTGACTCTAGGGGTGCTGAGTGTGGGGGTGCTGACACTGGAGGTACTGAGTCAGGGGTTGCTGACTCTGGCGCTGGAGGCGCTAGAGGTACTGGAGCGGGAGGTGCTGGGAGTTCTGGTGCTAGCAGTACTAGAACTGGAGGTACTGAAGCTGGAGGTACTGGAGCAAGAGGTACTGGAGATGAAGGTACTAGAGGTGACGGCACTCGAGCTGGAGGTATTGGAGGCTCTAGTGCTGGGGGTGCTGCGCAGCCTGTGCAGCGGCGACCGTTTTTCTTGCCGCAGCCGCGATCGTCGCTGCCACCACCCGGCTCGGCGCTTCGCCAGGTTCTCAGTCTTTCGTCTTCCACTGGCCTTACTCCTTCCCTACTGTGTCCACCGCCTGACCCGTCTCAGCCACAGTTACTGCCTGACTTCCCTCTTCCTGCTCCTTCTCCTTACACTGAGCAAACAGACTCCCTGACAGAGCGTCGTGAGCTTACGTCTCGTCCTGCCTCGCCTGTTCGTGCTGTTCGTCGTGCTCGTCGTGTTCGTCCTCCGCCTGTCACCGGCACGCACACTATGGCACTTCGTCCTTCTTCTGTTCCACAGCGTGTTGCCTTGCCGTCTCCTCGTGCGTCCTCTCTTCCTGACGTTCCGGACCCAAAGTCTGAACTTGCTCGTGCTGCTAGTCCGACTGTAACTCGTTGTCTGGCCACACTTGTCACTCACCCTACTTTTGAGTCTGTTGTTGCGTATGCCTTATTCACTGAGCTCGTTGACTTTGTTGCTGCCTGTCGTCTCGACTACTTCGAGAGTCTTGTTACTAAGTCTGAGTCTGACTGTCCTCCGTCTGTCGGGGGTGAGCTTGCCCTTGGCAGTGATGTCCTTGAGGACAAGCAGTTTGAGCTCGAGTGCCTTGCGGCTCCGGTACCTCATCTCGCTGCCATGCTGCTTGCCCCTGAGGGAGACCCGGATGTACTGGACATCCCGACTTCGCGCTCTTATGCAGAGGCGATTTCGGGGCAGTACTCCTCTCAGTGGAAGACATCCATGGACGTAGAGATGGCATCCTGGAAGTCCACAGGCACCTACGTCGACGCAGGTCCCCATCCTGGGGCGAACATAGTCGATGGCATGTGGATTTTCAGGGTGAAGCGGCCGCCGAGTTCTCTGCATGTCTTCAAGGCGCGTTACTTTGCACGAGGCTTCAGTCAGCGACAGGGGGTCGACTTCTTCCAGGCCTTCTCCCCCACCCCGAAGATGACCACTCTTTGAATGTTACTGCACGTTGCAGCACAGCGTGACTAGGAGCTCCACTCGCTTGACTTCAGCACAGCTTTCTTGCAGGGCAGATCTAGCTGCGCCGCCCACCTGGCTTTACTGAGTCGTTTCCTGAGGGTACCTAGTGGAGCCTCCGGCGGCCAGTCTACTGTCTCCGCCAGGCGCCTCGCGAGTGGCACGACACACTGAGGACGACACCTGCGGCTCCTGGGTTTGGTCCTTCGACTACTGGCCCGTCGCTGTTTCTGCGTACTGACCTGCCGCCATTCTACATCCTCACGTACATCGACGACTTGGTCTTTTCTACTGCTGACACTGAGGCACTAGCCCTTGTGAAGGCGGAGCTGCAGACGAGACACACTTGCACTGACCTGGGTGAGCTGCGCAGCTATCTTGGCCTGCAGATCACCCGGGATAGAGCAAGGCGCACCATCACTCTGACTCAGTCACACATGGTGCAGCAGGTCCTGACGCACTTCCGCTTTCGGTTCTCCTCGCCACAGGCCACTCCTTTGCCTACAGGCCACTCGCTCTCAGCTCCACCTTCGGACGAGTCCGTAGAGGCTTGTGGTGAGTATCCATAGCTTGTGGGCTGCCTCATGTACCTGATGACATGTACTCGACCTGACCTCGTGTACCCTCTCAGCATCCTAGCGCGCTTTGTTGCGCCCGAGAAGCACCGCCCTGGGCACTGGCAGGCTGCGCAGAGGGTACTGCATTACTTGTGCAGTACATCAGGCATGGGGCTTGTGCTTGGAGGACGAGGTCGAGTTCTGCTCACTGGGCACTCTGACGCTTCTTGGGCCGACGACCAGGAGACTCAGCGGTCTTCACAGGGTTACACTTTCAGTCTTGGCGCTAGTTCTGTCTCCTGGAGGTCCACCCGTTCGTCTTCTGTACTTAGTTCCAGCTGTGAGGCAGAGATTTGCGCTGGGGCTATGGCTGCACAGGAGTTACGCTAGCTGACCTACTTGCTGGCTGACTTGGGTGAGCGGCCTCGTTCTCCTCCGGTTCTGTACGTCGACAATAAGGCCATGATTGCCTTGTGTCGGTAGCAGAGACTGGAGCACAGAACGAAGCACATTGCTCTTCGTTACTTCCTCGCTCGAGAGTTGCAGCAGCGTTGTCAGCTCCACCTTGCTTACGTGGCCTCACTGGCCAACACTGCTGATATCATCACCAAGGCCCTCGGGTCTGGTGATCATCAGCGTTTCTGCAGTGCTCTTGGGCTTGTGCCCACTCTGTCTCACTTGCTTGTCTCTTAATCCAGTCTTGTCCTTGTTGTACATTGCTATATATCTGTATACCTGCATGTTTTCACTTGCTAGGTTGTGATCAGTGCTGCCACTGCTTGTGCTCGGACTGCGTGGTGATCTTGAGATCCACCCTGAGCTTTGCTTTGCTTTGCTTCTTCTCTTGATTGGTCTTGTGTCCCTTTGGCGATCGATTTCCGTCACGAAATGTTCTCTTCATGTCTGAGATATCGTAGCAGCTGCTGCTGTTTTTAGCATAGACGGAATACCAGGCTGCATTGTGATATGTCAACTTTTATATATTTGCCTGTTATCTGTACAAACCATGTCCTACTGCATAAGAAGGAACATCACAAATGCACAGAATCCCACCAGCTAAGCTACCGTTGTGGCATTCATGGAGCATCTGTGATGTTCCTTCTCGGATCACACCATCTCCCCATGCATTCATCTCCCATTCCCCTCTCCTTCAAAGCCTGCCACCAACGAGCTTTCCTGACGAGCTGCTGTTGTTGCCCGTGAAGCCGATGTAGAGCTGCCCATTGGCGCCCGCCTGGATGGCGCTGAGCACGTCCACCAGGTCCGCCGGCGCGACAGTGAGCACATTGGCCAGCGACCACGACACGGAGCTCAGCAGCTGCCACGTGCCGGGCAGCTGCAGCGCCACGGGTGGGGCTGCCTGCCTGCATGTGCTGTTGCCGCTGTAGATCACATCGTTCCGCCCACAGCTGATGAAAAGTGATGGCTGTAAGCGTTCCCTTTGGAAAGTCCGACACTGTTCCCGTTTCCATGAACAGTAGGTCTCCCAGCGAAACCGGAGCCCGCGAGGGGTTGAGCATGCAGAGATCACAGGCTGAATTCTCGGGCAGTCGAAAAGACAATGCCATGCGTCTCCTCCTCCCCACAGTACGGGCACTTTGGTTTGCAGCTGAGATATTCAACCCTCTCCCCAACCTGCAGGATCAGGTTATGTACGCGTGTGAGGACATCACGTGGCGGGCTTGGGATCAGGGCTGATTTTATCAGGGTAATTACCCTGATTTCAGGGTGATTTCAGACTTGTCACTTTCTGGTCCCTGAGAAATCAGGTTTTTTCGCATTTTGGTCCCTGATCCATTCAGAGTATTGCTTTGGCGGACCCTGAAATTTTGTGTACACTCTTAGTGTAGTGTTTTCACGGACCCTGTCAATACAGAGTACGCAGCCTGTGGACCCTGGATGCGATGTTATCGGGACGAAGTTTCTCGGAAATTTCCTCCTAATAACCCCGCCTTCGGTTTGATTTGAGTACCCCGCACGTGCGTAATCCCCCCCCCCCCCACCCCTCGTTTTAGCGGGACGAAGTTTCTTTCGTTCCCATGCACCCACCATCGAGATCGGGCGAATCTGTAATGTCAGATCTAGTTTGCTGTTATTGGTCGAAATAGTTGTGCTCTGACACAGCTCCAGTCACATCGCGAGTCACTGCGCCAGTCACATCGCCATAGTGCCATTCACATCGCCACAGTGCCAGTCACATCGCCAGTCACATCGCTCGCAAGTCACAGCGCCAGTCACAGCGCCAGTCACAGTCACCCTTGCGACACCAACAGCAGATTCGACCTTTGCTCCATACGGAAATCCCTTTGCGCTAGGTCAAGGCAGATTCTGCCTAAGATCCCCGTAGACTGTCAGATTTCGAGCAGATGTTGCGATGAGGGTAAAGAATGAGACTTCTGATTGAGTGAGACTTCTTTCCCCGGTAAAGAAAGACCGCGTTACTACGACTCTGATTTTCAATTCTCGACCCTGAACATTTAGAGTTCACTACTTCTCAACCCTGAGCAATCAGGGTGCTGTTTTCCTGGAAAACGTGCCTTCAGGGTAATTTTGTATTTTCTAGGTTGAACTCAGGGTAAATAAAATTTGAAACGTTAGCCCTGCTTGGGATGGCAAGCGAGTTACGTGTACGAATGACCCGCTGCCAATCAATCTTGCCGCTCCAGCGCCCGGCCCACTTCTCCTGCTTCGTCAGGATGGCAGTAGGCTTGTCCCAAGCCTCCCTCAACCGCTTCAATGGGGCAGGTTGCCCGTTCTAAAAAATCGCTGACCGGAAAATTGAAGGTGCTGCTTTCCCCCCAGTCCTGGGCGGAACAGCACCAGTCCCCCCCCGTCTCCCCTTGTGCTGCGACAGGGACCAGGAGCTCCTTCCATTCTTGCGGGGCAGCTTCCCACGCCTTGAGAGCCAGCCAAGCCGACTCCTTCCCCCTCAGCTCCTTTCCAAGGGTTTCCAGGTCCTTCATCACCGCTGCGCCTGAGGAATCGGCAGCTACTAAGTCCCCTAGGCGCGTCTCCCATAGACCTTTTGTCGCCTGTTGACCTCCGACCGGATTCGTGCCGTTCAACAGGATGTGTCTGTTAAAAACCAACCGCTCTTGAGCCGCCTCCTCTTTACCGGGAGCCCTCCCCGTCACGGCCAAGGGCGATTTTAAGAACACCTCACACGTCTGCTTCCAGCGTTCCCCGTCCCCCGGCCAGTGCTTGAGCAGCTTCTCGTGCGCCGTAAAGGTGTCTTCCCCGAGCGGAAGTCCTGCCGCTTTAAGCATAATCTCATTTTTTTTCCTGTTTTCTTCCAAAAGCAACCCGCCGATCCTCCTGGCAGCTAAACAAGCAAGGAGGATATCCGGATCCATCACCCCGAGGCCGCCGTCCGCTCTGGGAGTGGAGAGGAGATCCCAGCTCCAGAGGAAATAACTCCCATCCGCCGACGCATTGTTGCCCGACATAAAATTGTGCATCAACTTCAGGAGCTTCTTCCAGACGTCCTCAGGTGGTGGGTATACTTGCGCCTGGTAAGCAATTTTCGGCGTGATATAGCAGTTGATTATCACCACTCTCGCCGCAATCGTGAGGAAAAGCGCCTTCCATTTTATAAGCTCAACTGTGATTTTCTCGAAAGCCCGTTTCCAGGTTGGCGCGCTGCTGCCGGAAGGAGTGACCCACACACCAAGCAACCGCTCTGCCTCGTCCGCCGCTGCCCACTTGAAGCCGCCCAGAGTCCCCGGCCTCCGACCAATATTTTGGCCCAGCGGCATGACTACCGATTTGTCTCTGTTTGTCACCAACCCTGACAGCTGCGCGAAATACTCCAAGAGCTTCTCTGCTCTGGCAATTTGCCGCTTCCCCTCCAAGAACAGAGTTGTGTCGTCCGCATAACCAAGGTATACCAGTCGCTGCCCTGCCTTGTTGCTGCGGCCTAGCTTCCGACGGACTGCTTCTTGTGCAAGAGGCTCCACCGCGCAAAGGAAGAGGTAAGGGGCGAGTGGACACCCTTGCCTGACTCCCAATTTCACATCCACCGCTTCACCCATCCAACCGTTCACTAACAGCCTTGTCCTTGTCTCACTGTGCAGAGCCTCCACCCAGCCAATGAATCTCTCCGGGAATCCCATCTCTCTCAGGACCGTGAAGATGAAGCTTCTCGAAACCGAATCAAACGCCTTGCGGAAGTCTACTAACAGCATGTACCAGTCCTCGTTGCCCCTCTTCGCCGCCTCGATGACATCCGCTACTACCCCGATCGCATCCGAAATCCTCCTCCCAGGTATGAACCCGTACTGTTTTTCTGAGATAACCCGGTGTAGGAGATGTCTCATCCTGTTCGCCACCACACGCGCCAGGACTTTGTAGGTGAAGTTAAGTAAGGTTATCGGCCTGTAGTTGTCCAAGTTGTCTTTCTCCCCTTTCTTATGGAGCAAAACAGTGACCGCTTCTTTGATGCTGGCAGGGATTGATGCCGTAACCACGAAGTTCTGCGCCATCCGTAAGAATCCCCCCCCCAAGATGTCCCAGTTTCGCTCGAACAGTTCCTTCGGGAGACCGTCTCTCCCCAGCGATTTGTTGTTAGCAAGCGCCTTGAAAGCCTGCTTCACCTCCTGCTCCGACCAGTCTGCTTCCAGCGTCGCCGCTGCCTCCGCGTCTAGCCTTTTCCCCGGGAGTGGCTTCCACTTCTCCGCTGATGTTCTGCCATCCGAACCAAACAAGTCGGTGAGGTACATTGTCGCTGCTTTAAGAATTCCCTGAGTTTCCGTGATCGTAGACCCTCCCACCGTTAGCTCCGCGATTTGCGTGCGCTGCTTCCTGACCTTTACCCGTGCTGACAGGAAGGGAGATGGGAATTCACCCGCAATCTCGGTGTTCGTGCCCGCCATCAAACGCAGCCTGTCGCGTTTGGCTGCGTGATACTCCTGCAGCTGCGTTTCCCTGACCTGCAGAAGGTCTCTCGTCCTTTGGCAGCCGGGATTCCGCATCTTCTCCTGCCTCAGCTCCGCAACCACCTCCACGAGATGAGCGATGGTTTTCTTAATCCTCTTGCCCTCCTCTTTCATGTATGAACGCAGGCCCGCGTTCAGCCTACCCAGCAACAGCTCGAAATCTTCCTCCCCGTTCTCAGCCGCCTTGGTGAGAGCGGCTTCGACAGCTTTCCGAACCCCTGGCCTTCCGATTGCTGCTGCATGCAGCCTCCAGATCCCGGGACCCAGGTGAGCGGTGGCTTTGATCTTGAAGGCGATTTTGATGGCGAACCCGTGGTCAGAGATGTGTTCTTCAGGCATCGTGTGAGCAGCGATTTCTAGGTGAGGTAGGAGAGAGCAGGAGACAAGTGCTCGATCAATCCTGGAGCTGGAGCCTTTTGAGGCGGCATAAAAGGTGAACTCACGTTTTTTAGGGTGCAAGGTACGAAAGGAATCTGAGAACTGGAAGCGGCTACAGCGAGCGATGAGTCTGTCACTCTCTAGTGATGTACCAGTCTGTGAGGTTCTGTCTAACGTAGGGTCTTCTACTGTGTTCAGATCCCCTAACAGGACTACGTGCGCGGTGGATTGGATCTGGTCAATAGCTGGTCCAATAACGTTGGCTAAGAAAGAGCATCTGGTGGTGGCGTCGGCTGGGAAGTAGGCTGCAAGGAGTATAATGGTGAGACCGGGATGGCTGACTTCTGCTACGATTAAGCGTCCGGACGGGTGCGCGGAGATGCAGTGAACAAGAATGGAGGGATCCCTGGTGAGTACCGCTACTCCACCAGCTTTGTCAGTGTTGGGAGTGGTTAGGACTGAAGCGAAAGGGGATGTTTTCCAGTATGGGTGATCGTCAGGAAGTCTAGTGTCTGAGAGGATGAGAACGTCAGCTGCTGTTCGTGTCCATGCTGTGACTCTGGATTGCTTTGTTCTGTCGCCAAGGCCGTTAACGTTCAGGCTTGCTAGGGAGAAAAGGTTTTTGTTACTCATTTGATCACTGGTTGGCAGCCCCTGTTCATCCACAGGCTGATGATGGTCACTACGCTAACAACCACACTCCAACCTACTATCGCTAACAGCACCCGGTTCTCGCTTTGCAGCCTCAGAAACTGTAATCTTTCTTCAGATTGGCAAGGACCGCCTTGGCCATTGTGGCCTTGGTCCCGGTGCCCAGCTTCTCCAGGTTCAGCAGGTGAGTTGATGAGATGATGTGCTCTGCAGCAGCCATGAACGACTTTCCCTTTGCCTTCCCGCAGCACAGTTGCGTGCAGATCCACTCCTCGCGGTTGCTGCCGGTTGAGATAAGTGCAATCGCATGGTCTTTCAGGATGGTCAAGGCTGAGGTGCTCAGAGAGGAGGCTGCGAGAGCAAACGAGGTCGTCAGTGATGGGTGAAAAAGGTGAGGATGGAATGCCGTTGGGGGAATAAGCGATGCAGTTACCATTAATGCGATGGATCTTTGCCAGGGTTAAGTTCCACTTCCCTATATTGTTCTGCCGCTCTGTCCACCGCAGAGCAAGCAAGACAGTGCAGGGAAGTGAACTAGCACCTTCTCGCCGGCCTCCATCGGATTGTCAACAATGTGACGCCAACGGTAGCGGTCACCCGTGTGCTGGACAACCAGGCCTTTAATCACATCAGTGTCAGCGCCGGTAAGAGGGTGAGCCACGCGGTGAAAGGCGAAACCTTCTTTGAAGGCAGACTGCTTCCGCATCTTCAGCTTAAAGCGGACGAGCAGGTCCTTCAGCACATCAGGGACAATGTTAGCAGGTACGCAACGGAAAAGCACTTCAATAGCAAGCGGGTGAGAAGCCTTTTCTTTGATGTACGAGGGATCCTCCGTGTGCTGCCAGATACACTTGATCGCCGGACTGTTCGCTTTCTGGTATTCGAAGACATGTGACCTGATATGCAGAGCGTCACGCTCGTCCAAGAAAGAGATCTGCAGCTTGCAGAAACGCGTCTTGGCCACGTAACCAGGGAGCATTTCTTGGATTTTGGCTGTGACGCCGGCGTTCTCGGTAAGCGACGCACACCAGACTCTCTTCATCAGAAGGCGGACAGCTGAGATGATTGCTTTGATTTCCTGTGACAGCACCATCAGGATTAGTAGGATAACAGTATACCGAAGACGGAAAGCATCTTCCTTGGCGATGTCAATGTCCAGCATTTCGTCCGAGTCGTCTTCCAGAAACTCCTCCTCAGCAGCGGTAGCAGTAAGGTGCATCTGACTCTTCTCCTCCACGGACACACCGGAACTTCCCGCGACAGCAGCAGTAGACGCCGGTGTCGCCGCTGCTGAGTTAGCGTTGTCCTTTGTGATGTTAACCGTGTGTGCTGAACCCTTCTCTTCAGATCCTTCTCCCACAGGTATCGGCGTGAAGTTCTGATCCGGAAGGATGTCATCAGGGAGCGTGACATCCGCGGTGACCTTCGTCGAGCGTCCTTTTGGAGGCATGGTGTGATGATGACGCGAAGAAAGCAGCTGATAAGAGAGGGACCAACGGTTTCGATAAGCTTGTGAAGCTTCTGCTGCTTGCGTTCTGAACACCACCTCCTTATAGCCTTCCCATTGCGCCAGGGACTTGCTCTCTTGATCAAAATGGTGTGTTCCCGAGGTTGAAGCCTTGGGATCATGACGAAGTTGTTGAACAACTTGAGATGAAGAACAGTGTCTTAATGTGTAGACCCGGCGTTGATGTATAGAACTGATATAATCAGGCCTGGAAACGGAGATATAAAGAAGCCTAGAGACCTGGTTAGCATATAATGTGCATGAAACAGTGAGCTGGACCCGAGTAGCCAAAGATAAAATGTCCGTGTAGTAGACATTAAAAGTATATCCTCTGCATCTTAACGAACTCAGGAGATCAGATCTGTGCTCAAAGTTACCAACTGCCAAGTAACCTTCACGTAACAGGCTATCGAAAATCCGCGGAGGAATCCATGGCGGCCTTGTCATTGTCATTGTCATTGATCCTTTGCAATGTCCATGGCTGACAGCACAAGACTGCTAGAGCCCAGTACGACGCGGTAGTCGCTCGTTACTCCTCCCCTGCCACTGCTGCTCTAGGCTGCCTTCTACTGCCCTACCTGTTTCCCGAGCTGTCCGCCTTTGCCACAGTTGCCGACCTCGTCACTCACCTTCACACTAGTGACACTCGCTACCGCGCCGCACTTCCCGCCGAGTTTCTAGCCAAGAATCCCCCTCCCATGTACATCGCTCTTTACTTCTTCGTCACCCGCCTCCCTGACTCTCTTAGCGCAGTCAGGGACCTCCTTCTCGCCCTTGACCCCACAGCCCTCACTGT